CAAGCGAGCTAACCAGAGCGTCAAGCAGAGGGAGCCAAACCAGTTACTTTATGAAAAAAAGTACCAATTAATTTTGTGGATAACAAAGTTACTTAACGAAAAAAAACCTGCTGTCCTTGAACAAGAAAAGCCTACTGATGAGGAAGAAAAATTATCGCCACCGAAACTAGAAGATGAAGAAGAGCAACCAGAAAGCGACAACGACGAGGGGGGGGGGGATGAAAATGACGAAATTGCTGAAAAACTTGTCCCCGAGCAAACCCCAATAAATACTGGCGCTAAGGAAACCAGCGAAGAAAAAGACGATGACTTATTCACTGCCCAAAAATTTGCCCGCCGAAAAGTTAAACAATTGCTGAAAAAACACTCTTTAACCCACCAAGATTTGTCCCCAGAATACCAAAACTGGTGGGAGCAAATTCAAAAACTAAATTCAAAGCAAGCCATTAATCAGTTTCTCCAACAAATGGAGGCCGCCATAAACAAAAAAGCCCAAACTCTCAACCAAACTGCTCCTCATTCCCCCGCGGGTAAAAATGATTATCATCTGCTTTGGCTTGGCTTAGGAGCAATTGTCTTGTCGGCGGGAGGACTAATTATTTTGTTTACTTCCTCTTGGCAAAAAAGAAAAATTAGTAAAAACTAAATTATATGCTAAAAACTTTTTTGTTAGTTTTAATTTGATTAGTTGGTTTAATGGCGTTTGCTCTCTCTTTTTTTTTTGGAGAACAGAGTGATTTTTCTCCTTCCCAAGAAAGTGAAGAACAAATTTACAAAAATACGGGTTTTACGAAATTAACTAAACAATTACAAGTTGTTTATCTCTTTTTAATGTTTGTTTTTTTTGCTTTATTGTTTCTTTATAATTATGCTTTTTTTAGTTAATTTTTCTTTTTAGTTGTTGCTGTTTTTTATAGAGATTTTGGCATTTTTTTAAAATTTCTTCGGCTTTTTTTTTTCCTTGAAAGCCTTTTAATTCTACTTTTTTCTTCTCTAATTCTTTATAACGCAAAAAAAAATGATTAATTTCTGCTAATTTGGCTTGGCTAACATCTTTTAAGTCATTAATATTTTCAAGTCGAGGTTCCACGGCGTTGACAGCTAACAATTTATCATCGGCTTCTCCTCCGTCAATCATTCTCAAAACGCCAATAATGCGAATAGGCACATAGCAAGGAAAACTCACTGGATAAATAGTTAAACAAATCACGTCCAACGGGTCGCCATCTTCGTCCAAAGTTTCCGGAATAAAACCATATTCTTCGGGATAAACCATCGCTCCGGCTAGCACGCGGTCTAACTTTCATTTATTATTAGCAGCATCATATTCATATTTATTAATAGAGCCCGTGGGGATTTCTACGACCACT